GACAGCAAACAGTCCTTCAGCATCTTTAAAAACTGTAAGTTCAGTATGAAATAACAACCATGAATAAATAATTAACCCAACTTTATATTACCTTTGATGGATGAACCCAGGATTTGCTCACATGTTAACACTGTTAAGCCTTTATAGCATTTACATTATAGCAGTGCTAGGCTTAATCTTCCAAAGTTCATGCTGCCATAGGTATGTTACTATTTGAGGCGCCTTTTGCCAGCATTGCTAGAAGCCTAAGTCTCCTGCAGATGGGCAGGGCCATCACAGATTACGCGCTAGGTTGCGTATTATCTGGATTGCCTCTCCCCATTTGATCCATGAGCTACTCCTGAATCACTTTTCAACTTGCAGCTTACTTGCCCACTGGAATAGCAACAGACTCAAAAGCTTTCTGCAAAGTTGTGCCATTTGTAAGGAAAGAAAGAAAAAAGAAAGAAAAACAAAAGGCCGGTCTTGGGAGATTTTGACTATGTTTGCTCTTTCTGAGCAAATGACTGAAGACAGCTTCACTGCACCTGATAGTTCAGCTAGTTCGTTTACTGAAGGTACATACAGTTCTTGTCTTAGAAGGTGTGGCTTCAGTGAGTCAGAAGGGATTATTCACATGAGAGATACCTCTCCTATGTTTCAAATGTTTTACTAATATGCCCAATACCATTTATTTTAGAAAAACAAATACGAATGCCTGCCCAGATGCCTGACATTCCTTTATATGCACAGCAGTGAACTGATATCCTAAAATCTGCCCTAGAGCATCCACAGAACAGAAGTACTGGGGCCTGGTGCTCACTCCTGTCATAATCTGAAAGCATTGATCACCACCAGGGAGTGGAATTTTTCATTTGTGAGCCTACACTGGATCAGACTTGCTTTGTCTTTGGAGAAACAGCATTCACAAGGGCTGTTCTGGGTGGATGAGTTTCAATGTCTGAATCAATCCACAATGTTACATTCATTCTTCTGGATAAATTTTGGGGTATGTTTTCTCTTCAAAACCTAAAAAAGGGACGTGGTGGCGCTGTGGGCTAAACCGCAGAAGCCTGTGCTGCAGGGTCAGAAGACCAAGCAGTTGTAAGATCGGATCTACGCGACGGAGTGAGCGCCCATCGCTTGTCCCAGCTCCCGCCAACCTAGCGGTTCAAAAGCATACAAATGCGAGTAGATAAATAGGGACCACCTCGGTGGGAAGGTAACAGCATTCCGTGTCTAAGTCGCACTGGCCACGTGACCACGGAAGATTGTCTTCGGACAAAATGCTGGCTCTATGGCTTGGAAACGGGGATGAACACCGCCCCCTAGTGTCGAACATGGCTGGACAAAAATTGTCAAGGGGAACCTTTACCTTTACCTTTTCTCTTCAACCTTTCCTCCAAGAGCAATAGTTTGACAGACTGCATGTGCAACATCAGAGTAGGATTGGCCCTTCAAGTATTGTTGTTCCACAGCCCATCTCTAGCCTAGCCAGCATAGGCAATGGTGAAGGATGATAGATATGATACTTCTACAGTAAACGGATAGTTGCACACTCCCCAGCTCTGCATTAGGGCACTGTATAAAGGCACAAGCCGAATAGCTGGGCGTCAGCTCTGTATCTAGAGTTCCACAGGGGAAAAAAAACCACAGAAGAATATGAATGTAGTGAAAGAACAAAGCACAAGGAGAGAAGACAGACAAATTTAAAGCTGTTGCGATTTGTATAATAATTAGCTGGTCTCACAGCAACACATTGATCATTGTAAGCCATTGTTCAGCGGTAGAGTGCATGCTCTGCAAGCAAATTGTCCCATGTTCAGTCTCTGGCATCTATAAATCGGGCAGTGAACAACTTCCTTCTGAAACTCCACAGAACCACTGAGGCTCAAACTAGATGACACAGTGAGATAAGAGAGCTTACCTGAGAGATAGAAAACATTGGTTGATTATAACATGAGTTTGTCTCACACTGCATATTGTAATTAGCTTGCTTTTGAGGTAAGCATGACTTAATTTGCTCACACACAAAGCTCTGAAAGGGAAAACATTGTAATAGCAGGAAATACATTTATTTTGCTGTGCTGCTTGATGTTAAGAGTAGATTGATGATCTGAACTGATTTAAAGCAGCAGTATTTTGAAGATATGGAACAGCTCCCTCTCTGCTTAAGGGATGGTGTGGGGGTGCCTTGCCCCATTTTCTGGAGTTCATCAGGGAGTATCAACCTCCCACTGCCATTGTGTTAACTACTACTGCCTATAAATCACCAATGAGAAACATGACAAGTAGGGAGTGTGAACCTTGTTTCTCAGTAGTGCCTACTCTGATGTTGCCTGCAGCAACCTACTGGTAGCAACATTCTCATGAGATTCAAAGTGTGTACTCCCCTTGAACCATATTTCAGGGTGGAACTGTTGTAATTTTATGGTGCAGTTGGCAAGATCTGCAAAGATGGTCAGAGGGAGCTGCATATAGCCACATATGGCTGGTCTTTGCTCTACTTAGACATAGTCGACAGTTGTAAAGGAGGGAAGGATGTGTGGAACATCCTTTGATTTTGGCCTGTGTTTCTAATGTCCATGTTTCACTGTGAAGAACTAGAATTATGAACTAGAATTGTTGCAAGGCATCCACCCACATAAAAAAATATAGTGTTGTGCACATAGAGCTTTCAAAATCTATGTATTTTCAAAGATATTTGCAAAAGCTGTCAATAAGCTTTCTGAAAGGCTCCAAATCTAAAGAGTTTACGGTCTTCAAACCACCAGCCAGGAATTCTGAATAGGACTGCCAGGTCAGCAACATTCCATTCTCTGAGATTTTAGAGCCAAACCCTAAATCAGAATAAAGCCTTTGTGATGTCATAGGCATGTGCATCCTAATGATGCCATGGAGCAAGGTCATTCAGTAACAGCTGCAAAATGCTGCCTGTGTGAACCAGACTGACAATGTGGAGACACAGTAAGGAATATGAAGGCCAATGAAATAGTTCTGTGAAGTAGTTGCACAGTGGAAAGCAAGTCCATTGCTAAAAAGAAACATGTTTTCCATATGACAGGTGGGAGAAGAGTAGAAATGGGTTGCTGGCTTAATGAACACCCAGACCCAGACCCCACTGGACAACTTACTTTGTGGTGCGCATGGCCGCATTGTTGTCTGTGTCCCAGTCAGAGTGGTTGGGCGAGCAGGGAGGCGAGGGTGTTGCAGCTTAGCTACTGTCGCGATTGAGGCGCAGAAGATGATGTGGGCCATGCATGCCATACAGTAAATGTTCTGCTGGGGTCTGGGGGTGGGTGTTCATCAAGCCAGTAACATTTGTATATGAATGCAAACCCCCCATCTCTAGACAAGAGTAAACCTGACAATTTGCAGTTTGCCAGAATGAAGCTCCTGAGAACCACTAAAGTTGCCAGGTCAGTAATATCCCATTCCCTTAGATTTCAGGGCCAAAGCCTGAGATCTAGAGCATGAACCACCAAACCAACATTTCAGGGCCAAAGGCTGAAGCATGACAACCTTAATTCTAGATTATACCTCTTGTGAGTATAAATGTGGCACCACGTTTTGTATTTTAGAAACACAATCACCTTTAAGAGTACCCTGATTGACAGGACCTAGTATATAAATAGAACCTCACTTGCAGGTTCTGCCATCAAGTTTACATCATTGAGTACAGGTGTCCATGATGCCATCTAGAGCATGCAAGCAAAAAAGAAACATACACCTTTAAGAACCCTCTGCAATCTTGACAAGGCTATTGGAATGAGCAGAGGCTACTTTGATGCAAAACATCAGGGCCAGTTAGTGATTGGGATAGAAATATCAGACTCTTAACACTAGGAAATCCCGAAGAATTTTGAGATTTTTACAGACTTGGCGCCCAAGTACGTCATGGTCTGGACCTAGGGGGCAATACCTAACATGGTCAACTAACACTGGAATATTCCAGGCTCTGTATTCCACAACTACCATGTTGAATGCAGCACACTTTTATTCAGAGCAATCAAAGAAGGTGGCAGCCAAAATACCTTGCTATGATGTTTACATCTTTACCTATTTTGGACCTTTTTTGAGGATTGTTAATTATAAAAATCCCCCCCCTGCATAGTATTAACACTTAATTGTTATGTGCTGTCAAGTTTTTTTTCCCAACCTATGGCAATGTATTATGGTTTTGAGGTGTTCAAGGGGTGTCTCCCATTCCAATCCATCAGTGAGTTTCCATGGCTGAATGACCAAGTTTGAACCCAGGGTATACCTTGCGGCTTTCTTTGAAGAGCTCACACACACACACCCCAAAAGCAAATACTTATGAACTGGTTAACATGCAATATCTTTCTTGTACACAAATAGAAAGAATTTACAGAGTAATGCTTCTTTCTCAATTTTATGGATAGGTAGACATAGCCATTTTTAATAGCTGGAGCTGTGTGGTCAAATCTGATTATGATCATTAGCCTAACACATTTACTAGTTTTCCAAACTGATAGAGAATTTTTCTCTACTTTCCTTCTGTTGTGTTTCATCACATAGCTTATTATAAGCCTGCAAAGTAGGACCTGTTTTTATATATTTTTTATTTTATATTTTTATTCATGATCTGCTCTAAATTAGCCTTTCATTGTTTGGGATTGTGTAAATTTATCACATTTAAATGCATGATTTTGCTTATATGTAAAATAAACCAAATTGTATAGTCAGACAAAATAGTAACAATAGTAACATACAATAAATCAGTTTATTGTATTTTATTATTGTTACTATTTTGTCTGACTATACAAATTGGTTTATTTTACATATAAGCAAAATCATGCATTTAAATGTGATAAATTTACACAATCCCAAACAATGAAAGGCTAATTTAGAGCAGATCATGAATAAAAAACCACATCATACAATCTAAGATGCTATCACAATGCTCTATTACTCCGGGATTTTAGTATGACTAAAATCTAAGTTTGCAACAAGTTCATTCACCACTCCACTATTTATTTGATTTCATATACTGTATTCAATTCACGGACCACATTATACAAGGAAACGACACATCCAGTTAAATTATTTGTATATTTTAAGAATACAGCAAACAATTCTTATTCATAATTAATTTCAGCAACAAGATAAGTGGGGAAAAGAACACTTCACATCATCAAAATGTCATGGAATCAAGTACAACTTTTTCCATTGAATGGTCTCTTGGTCTTTATAGAGAAAAATACAGGAGGATAATAGGGGTTTCATAGGAGCACAGAATAAAATAAGAACAGCCAGATTTTTTCCTGACAGATTATTCTTAATTGTAATTGTCCCTGCACTAATAAATGCAGGCAGTCTGTGATGGAATGTCAGTCATCCATCCAAACCAAAAGCAAGATCATTGAGCAGCAACTTTTGATATGTTGGCAGTAAGAAGACTGTTTCTGCACAACTTCTTGACTGCAGCTTTTCTACATACCGTATGTTGAAGACCCAATTTATTTATTATTCCTCCCTCTCAACATTGCTTCTTCTGTTGTTTTTTTCCCAAGGAAATACAGCTTCAAAACCCAGAAGCAAACAGCTTGAATGTGAGTACTGGTGAGGACTGCTTAATCTTTTTCCTTCCTCTTATTTTCTGGTAAAAATCCCACATTTTCTTGTGATAACAGTTTGAAAAGTTGCTTTCTTGGGCTACAACTTCCAGACTTTGCCCCATCAGCATCATTTGGGATTATGGAAGTTGTAGTCTGAAAAGTAACTTTCCTGAGCTCCTGTTGTGATCCTGAACAGCAAATAGACTCCAACACAGAAGAATAGAAGTTGAGCCTCTAAAAGTTATTTTTTGGGGGCTGATTCCCAAATCCTGCAATTGTCACGGCCTTGCTGGCTGGCAGATTGGAGGCTGCGATCCAAAAGGGTAGCATTTCCAAGTTGTGTGTAAGAAGTAGTTGGATTACCTGAACCACTAACAGAAGCCACAGAGGCATAGGAGCCACTTCCAGATCCTGACAGTAAGCCAAGAGGGTGCCTGATAGACACAAACTAAATGAGCCAAAGAACCCTGAAATAGGACTTTCAGTCACAGCAGTCTCTGTTGAACCAGAGTCCTCACAGTCTATAAGTCACTTAATACAAGAGGTCTCATATTCCTTAGGGGCTCCTCATCAGCAGTGACAAGGTAAAAAAGTAAGAGGTGACAACTCTCCAGACTAGAGGACAAATTATTTAAGGCAGTCCACAATTCAAGAAGAGGGTGGAGCCTGAGAGGATCATATAGATCCTCAGTTGACCTTGCTGGAGCAATGTGCCAATCAAGAGCAATCTGAGGCCAGTTCTGCTTTCCCTTAAGTGTATCTTTGTGGCTTGTGGTTGCCAGTTCTAGTTTATAAGGCAGATTGCAAGCTACTTTCTTGCTTACAGGAGAGAAGATACAGGACTATCATCTCTTTTTCCTGCAGGAACAAAAGCAATTAGTGAGAGCATGATTCTGAGTAGAGGAATGGAAGAAGGTTAAGGGTTAAAGGATTGCATCAGGTCACACTGGAAAGAGTCGCTTTGCTGGGAATGATCTCGCTTAAATTGACCCGTCTGTCTGTGCAGGAATCACACCAGTCCAACCTCCAAAAAGAATAGACCTGCCACTGAAGAAAAAATACTTGGGCCTTTATCAGGGTCAGGCTGTTTTGTGAGCAATTGTGCATCATGGGACCACTGGAAAATAGTTCACACTGGACCATGGCAAGCAGTCCGAAATGTGAGCTATTTCCCCATCTGATAGTGCTCTCAGCGTCTCATCATACTGCTGATGCTATGCTGAAGACTCTAGCTTCCTAGGCCTACTTTTTTGTCTGTCTGTTTAAAGAACATTAGGAAGGGAAGTTTCTGTTACTTGTAGTCTGACTCCAAGACATTGCCCATTTGTAATTAAGGGACAAATACTTCTTCCTGCAAAAACTCTCTGTGCATGGCTACATTATACAATTCCAGAATCTTTCTCTTTGAAGCTCACAATGGCAGTTTACACTTAACAACAATAAAGTCAATGTTAGACAACAAGCAGATACACAACAACCTCTCCCCTCAAATAAAAAGCAAATTAAAAATCCAGATAATTGTTTTCTAGAATATAAAAGGAATCAAGGCTTTTCTTGACCTTGGATAGCTGGTGAATGTCTTAATGTAGTACCTGAAATAAAATAAATACAAAATTTTAAAAAATTACCCAGAATTATAATATTAGACAATAGTCTTGTGCAGATTTCTTTAAGAAAGTTGAATCTCTTTTTTTCACATCTCACATGGTTGCTTTTTAAAGAGATTCAGAATGGAATATCCAGTGGATTTTTGGAAGCCTGGTGCCTTCCAGAACTGTTGAATGACAGCTCCCAGAACAATCCAGTCACAAGGTGGCTCAGGGATTCTAGATGTTGCAGACCAACATATCTTAAGGCAGCAGAGGGGTGGTTTTATGTGATGTCCGAAATGACAAAGCATGGTTTGTATGTGGCTGGCTATCAAAAGAGAATCAGAAGCCATGGTCTGCTTTATGCCAACTATGATGGGATGTGATATATGAATGGACTAATCATGTTTATAAGCAATTTGTTTCCTCCAGAAGTGACTGTACCCATAGAAGTGAACTTAAGAAGCTGTATGCTAAAACAACAGAAAAGATGGGCAGGTAAGGAGGTCTAACCCACCTGTTCACAAGTACCTCCCTTTCCATATAACAAACATGTATTTATAAAAATGTAATTTTTAAACTTCTGTGTGTGTGTGTGTGTGTGTATTTGACGGGTCTCTCTTGGGAGAGATTTGGAATACAGAAAAATCAAATTAAAAAATAATTAAAACCCACACCCAATTCTTGGATTTTTTTTCTTCTGATTTTTTTTTTCAACCAGGCCTATACCAATTTTCAGATATTTTTTTCTCTCTTGCATTTTTTTTTCACATCAAGACTTAGCTATGTACATTTCCATGCAACACATAACTGTCTCGTGCAATGTGTTGCTTTCAAGAGGATGTGAAACAGTATGAAACGTCTAACTTTGTAGTCTGAAAGCCACCCCATACATGCTTACCACTTGATGCAATGGTCTGCAAATAACAAATCTCAAGGCAACTATAAGAAACAATTGTTTTCATTGAATATGGGCTTCTGCTATGTAAACAATAAAAATATAATAACCAACAGAATACCTGTGGTGGTGGACAGCACGTGGTCCAATGCAGCAGAGTGTAAAAATGGCAAAGGTAAAAGCAGGTAGGGACCAGGTCGCTATCGCATAGCCAAACCATTCCAGTATCTCTCCAAAGAAATTTGCTCCCGATACATAGTCAAACAATCCTCCTGCACAAGAGACAACTTGTATGAGCACATCTGAACAGTGAAAGTCAACTCTCATATCCTATATAGTACATACAAGAGAGACTATGTGCCTCCTCCCCAGAAAATGCAACCAACTAAATCAGAGAAAAGACTGCAATCCATGGAGCACTGCAGCTGCTCTGCTTTTCTTTTTTTTTCCTCTTCAGCTTCTCTTCCTCCTCCTTAAACAAAAAGCAACAAGCAACAGATTGAATCCAAAACGGTATGCTGCTTTTCAGCCACAATGGTTCTCAAAGCAGATCACAATAATAACATCAGATTTCAAGGTCAGGATAGACAGTGTTTCCTCAAATATACTTTTACAAAGGAGTGGCAGTTGTGTTGGCACAAAATAAATTCCAAACTTCATCTGGAGGTGATACTACGGTATTGTTGTTTTTATGAGCCATCTGTTTGCCACCTAGCTATGAAGGAGGGATCTCCAAGATGTCCTGCCCTCAACAGCCCTACTCAGCTCATTAAACTCAAGCCTGTGGCTTCTTTTAGGGAGTCAATCCATCTTACATTTGGCCTTTCTCTTTTCCTTCTGCCTTCAGTCTTTCCCAACAATGTTGTCTTTTCCAAAGAATCTTGTCTTCTCCCGATGTGTCCAAACTATGACAGCTTCCATTGATTCATTTTTTGCCTCCAGAGATAGTTCAGGTTTAATTTTATCTTGGACACACTTGTTCATGTTTTTACCAGTCAGGGGTATCTACAAAGCTCTTCTCCAGCACCATATTTCAAACAACTCAATTTTTTCCTGTTAGTTTTCTCTTCCCCCACCCCCCACCCGTCTTCCCCTACCCCCCAGCTTTTACACCAATACGTGGAGATCAGGAACATAAGAGTGTGAATTGTCTTGGTTTTAGTCTTCAGTGACATATCCTTACACTTGATGATCTTTTCTAATTTCTTCATTGCTGCTTTTCCAAGTCTCAGTCTTCTTCTGATTTCTTGGCTTTTTATTTTTGTTACAAAGACCAAGCCAGGGTAAGATAAGGTGAGAGAAAGTTCAGCAACCTCTCCCACAAGCTTCCTTTGCTTTCCACCAATCATAGTGGAAATGCTGCCTAGATCAACCCGTGAACAATTACCGTGCAATATATTTATTACCGTATTTGAAAGTAAGAACTAAAGAAAAACTAAGCATTAATGTGGCAGAGAATAACATATTCATTTCTCAGAGAAACATCCACTTAAAACCCAGGAAATATACTTTGTTTTTTATTAGAAACTTGAAGCTCACTATAATTGGTGCAAAAAGGTGGCTGAGTAAGACAAGCATGTGCTAAGAATTAAGGAGCAGGCATTTTTTGATAGGACCAAACTAATACATCTTTTTATATAAATGTCTCCTCTTGTTTCTTCCCAAATGTGGTATAGTGACTAGACTGCTGAACTAGGATTTGAGAGAACAATGCTTTAGTGCTTACTGAAAAACTCACTGGGCAACCTGGGTCCCCTTGTATTTTTTTTTTTTTTTTGGCTTGACTTAGCTCATAGGGCTGTGGCAAGAATAAAGTGGGGATAAGGAAAGCCATATATAATATCTTGAGCTCACTGGAGGAAAGGCAGGGTATAAATGTAATTGATTCTGCCCTGTCATATCAGTGATCCTGAAGGAAGGGGCCATAGAGGAGAAAAAATGCAAAGAATAAAAGCAAAACTAAGTGTCCTAAAACTTGAATAAGGAAAACATGAGGAAGAGGAGGATGAACAGCAGAATGCTAGCCCCCCCCTTCCCCCATAAATGGCAGTTATGCTCCACATGAAGAAGGAGTAGTTTTTAAACAGGAGAATCTCCTTTATGGGCACTCAATTTCTTTGGATGCTTGCCTTGTTTGGGTTTCAGCATGCCTCCGTACAGTTTCGTCTTTCTCAGTTCTACATTCAATGCTCAGATTATCCATCCTAGAAATCAAATCATTCTCAGTTTCCCACAGTGACCTCATTACTCTGATTATTAAATAATATTCATGTGCCGTCAAGTCAATTCTGATCTATGGTGACCCTTTTCAGGGTTTTCGAGATAGAGAATATACTCAGAAATTATTTACCATTCTCTTCTTCTAGAGAGCACCCTGGGACTGTGCAGCTTGCCCAAGGCCACACAGGCTGGCTGTACCCACAGGAGGCACCATGGGAAATCAAATTCCCAACCTCCGGCTCTGCAGCCAGATACCTGAACCACTAAGTTATCCAGCCAGCACTCTGATTATTAACCACTTCCAAGAATGCCAAGGAACCTAATGATAGGGATTCCTGACTGGTAGCAGGCAGTGTCGTCTTTTTGAAGGTATAGGGACAGACTCTCATGGGGCAAGAGAAACATAAGTCAGTCAATATTTCTGGGAAATTGGGGAAGAACCACATACCTTGTGGAATTTTGTAAGTGAACTCTCCAGGTTTTCTTAGCTGGCGTAAAACATGGTCACTGTGGATATTGATTCCCAAGCCAAGCAGAAACAATATGAGTCCTAAAAGCAGAAAATGTAGTGTTTATATCTTCGATGGTTTAAATATCGATTTCACACCTACTTTTAAACAGCTATCTTGTTTAAATAAGTATAAATTAGCAGATTCTGGCCTCATCAGGAAGTTGCCCTCTGGCTTCCAAGAAGGAGATCATGGGGAAGCCAAAATGGCAAGCAAACAGCATCTAGTTATGGCACAGCTACAGGAAGCTTATGTTGCCCTCCAGTTCGAAAACATAACAGATTTACGATTGCGACTGGCCTGGATCCATCCTCTAGAAGAGAACAGAGTTGCTATTCCAGAGCTTACTTTTTTCTTCCAACTTTATTTTCTCTTTTCTATTCTTTTTCTCCTTTTGTGTCAATTAGATTACAAGCCTGCACATTTGAGCTGTCTTACCTTTCACTATCCGTACACTTCTTATTTACGGTATTTTATTTATTGTTTTTCCACCCTATATCAAAGGTCTTATCTGGGCAGCATTACAAATTTAAAAACAGTGAGTTAGACCAATAAACATATATATAAATCCAAGATGGCAAAAAATATAGAATTTAAGATACGGCAGGAGGAAAAGCCTGCCCAAATAACCAGGTCTTAACTTTACTCCATAGAAATGAAGGAACTTTAGCCTACTTTCAAATACTAATCTCAGCACAGAATTAAGTGCGGAATGGTGAGATAACTCTTATGTAAATCCCATTGATCCAAAGGCTCTAGTGCAGCTGGTTCTGCCAGCTGGATTCAGGCACTTATATATATTACTGTTCTTGTTGCTGTTGCACTAGTGATAGTAATAACAGTAGAGACATATACAAGGAAAGTTACAGGTAAGCTAGAAGCAAACTCAGGCTATGACTACACTATCATATTTTTCTGCAGTTATAGTATGTGTCGATTCAAAGGATTTTTTCCTGATCACCTAATGCAAAGGCTACTTCAAATTGGTCTGGATTTTTTTGCTCCCAATGCAGCTTTCCCCCTGTTTGCTGCTGGGAGGTTCTACTTTTTTCAAGCTGGAACAATTTGAACAGACTTTTCCTCATGTGCTTAGCTGATTTGCTTGTGTAAAAACAGCAGCCTATGTGGGTGGTGTTTTAGGTGACATATGATGTTCGGCACCATAGGAACATCTGGCCCTGCCTTATTTCTCTAAATTGTCCTTTATTTATTTATTTATTTATTTATTTATTTATTTATTTATTTATTTATTTATTTATTTATTTATTTATTTATTTATTTATTTATTTGTTTGTTTGTTTGTTTGTTTGTTTGTTTATTTTATGAGGTTGGTGCTGAATCACTAGTATTGACATACAAGTCATGTGAGATCTCCTCCAGATGAGAAAAAGATTTTTTTAAAAAAAATTACAAACAAAACAAAAACAACTCAGACAAAATAAAATTAGCTTTTGTGGTATGTGATAAGGGCCTTAGAATTTAGCTATAATATGCTGTGTAGTCACAACCTAAGTAAACATCCATTGATGTCTCATACATGCAGATAAGTCTCTCTAGAGACTGATGTTTATGAGTATAAAAATTATTCCCTGTATACATTTTATTTTTTTACCAATGTAGTAGCTATGCTAATATGTAATGGGAAATCAAGCATCTTTTGACACTCTAAAGACTGGGAAACTATGGTGGTGGGGAACACATTCAATTTGTACTGTTTTTTTAGTTTATGTATTTTATGTTTATGCTGTAGTTTAAGAAAAAAAGACTGGGAGGTTTTCAAAATGTTTTTTTCTTGGTTTTGTTATTCAAATTTGTCTTATCCTTAGTGACTGATTATCTAGGAGACAATAAATGGGTTGTTTATATTTTGTTGCTTCTAAATCTGTTTTTGGTAATACTTTTACCTAACATTTTAATATGTTATTAATTCTTTAATATTTAAATAATCTACTGTTTTTAGCTTTTAAGATTGTGTTTTTAATTATCTGAGCCACCTTGAGAAGGCCAAGGTAAACAATATTTTAAATAAATAAATAAATCATAACATGGACAGTTAGACAAGAATTTCCCCTTCAGCCTCAATCCAACATTCAGATTTGACATTTTTGGCAGAGCTCAACTGAACTAGATTGCCAGCTGCTCAGCATCTCCTCACATAATTACCTGATGTAAATCTTAGGTTGTTACACCAGTCATCTGGGTATTCTGTACAGTAAATCATGTAGTAACCTTGAAGGAAGCCGTTATAAGTACAGAACAGTATACCACAGAACAGCACTTTCAGTGGGAAAGGCCTGCCTCTTATGAGGAATGAGTAGATGAATGTCCTGAGGGAGAGAAAAATGCAACACATCAAGATCAAAACATCAAGGTCAAAAAGATACACACAAATATCCACAATATTATTAATAATAACATGATAACAAGTGCACCCATTACAGAAGTTTTTTATCTTTTTATCCTTCGTTTTTGCTTTGGTCACATTTTCATTGGGGTCTGAAGAATAATCATTTGCAACAGCTTCATGTTATTTTAACATCAACATCTAGTCCTGATTCTAGCCACTTTATTTTTGCTTCTGCTCACATCATAAGGAGAAGCAGGGTACGCAGGGAAGCACAATCCACTTCTTTTCAACTCATGTTGCACATAAGTAGGAACGGAACTGTTTTCTTAAAAAAAATTAGAAGGCGCTTCACACTAAAAGCGTACAAGTACACTGACAAATTCATGTTGTGAGAAGGACGCCATAGCAGATCTTGGAAGTGTTACTTGCTTTTTTGGATGGCAATTCCCAGAAACCCAAATCTAGTCAATGACCATGCTGGCTGGGGGATGCTGGAAGTTGTAATCCAATAAAAATACAGCAATTTTTCTAAGCATTGCTATCTGGTGTGCATGATGTATAATTCTTAGACTGGAGCTTCTTATCATATTTCTGGTTTGGGAAATACTGTATGTCCAACTTTCCCTAGTAATGGAAATCCATTGATGATATACAGATATACATCTCCTGCTGGATTAGTTGCCTATTTTCTCCACGCCCTTCTTACACCCAAGGAAGGACTACATTTCCATCTGCCCACTAATGAAACATATGCCACACTATCTGTGGTAACCCAATGGAGACAGCAGTTCACAGACATTATTGCTGCACAATATTTCACCTTTAATGATGAGCAATCAGAAACAAATCAACACATGGTGGCCCAACACAACAAAGCTCCTAATAGCAGCTCAATTTCGATATAAGGGTGTGGTGTCTACCCTAAGTTACACATTATAAGTTATGCATTATCCATAAGTTATATGTTAATGTGGTTGTGAGGTGGGGCCAAAGGGGCTGCTGAAGGGGTGGAGCCTGGGAGAAGGAGTTCAGTCTGAGAGTCAGAGAGAGCTAGAGAGAGGAGGATAGTTTGGGGTTTGGAGGCAGAGAGTGTTCAAGGACTGATTAGGCAGTGATTAGTCAGAGTGTGACCAGTGTTAATTAATATAGAAGAGAATAAAGTTAAATGTTGAAGCTGTGTGGAACTTTAAGTACGTGCTTAAGAATTATTCCTGAAACCACATGTAATCAATAAACCTGTTTCTGTTAAAAGTCAGTATTGGATGGACCTTAGTCGTTCATAAGAAATAAGTTGATAAAGAGATCAACTGGTGGCAGCGTGTCAGAGGGTGTGTTGAGATACATTTGTGAGCTCTGTGTTTGGTGGGACAAGCAGGGGCCACAGGATAAATGCCACAAGAGGGTCTTACAAGAAGGAGTGAAGCAGAGTAGGTCTTCCAAAATTTTCCATATTAACTATTTATGTTGCAAAGAAGGAAACAAGGGTCAACGAAAGAAATTAATTTGGCAGCCTTTCAAAAGGAAAATAAATCAGTTCCTAGGCCAAAGAGAGCAGGATTGCAGCCAGAACAACAGCAACTAGATATTCCGCCAAAAAGAAAACACATTGGTTTATAGAACAAAATGCCGGAAGATTATCAGTATGGAAACATAGCTCGATAGGGACCTTGCTCACTCCAATACTTTGAGCAGTGCCAGATTCCAAGCATCCTTTCAGGGCTTAAGTTCCATTATGTGTAGAAAGCGTGCCAGACTAGGACTTCAGGGATACAAGTTCTAATCCTCATTGAACCATAAAGGCTCACAAGGTGATTTCTGTCTGACTTACCTCACAGGCATGTTGTGAGGATACAGCGCTGGGAGGAGAGCTTATAAGAAAGGTGGGATGTAAGACGCAGGTGACTTGACACACATAACAACAATATAGTACAAATAGGGAGGTTTGAAGATACTTCTGATGTCCTGCAGGAAAGCTTTCTTTCAGGGCAAATATTTAAATCTCCTGCATGTATTAAGAGGCAGGACGCTAAGGGGCTAGAAAGGCATTTGATGCCACCTAGTGGCCAGAATTCTATTACAGTACTAGTTTTTATTTGTATAGGGAATTGCCCAAGCCTTGATGCCAAATTGCAGTTCATTAAGAAGGTGCTGGTTGTGTTCCTGGACATGTGCCATTAATGAATGGCAACCTGCTGCCAAGTTTTAAATGCTTTCTCTTGTGTGTGTTTTCTGTGCCGTCAAGTCAGAACTGACTAATAGTGACCCTAATAGAGCTTTCAAGGGAAGTAAGATATGCAAGGAGAGGTTTTACTAGTTATACTCATCCATGGCCTTGAGGATTCAAACTATGTCCTAGCTCATCACTCTGTCCACTACACCACATTGGGAATCCTCTTAGGCAAGCATGAACCAGCCATAAGATTCTGGATTTCTTATCACCAGTAATAATTTCCCTACTGTATGAAAGAAACAAAAGGCTAAATGTGAGACTATGCTGCAGTCTCACATGTGAGACTATGCTGAGTGCTCACTGGAAGGACAGATCCTGAAGCTGAGGCTCCAGTACTTTGGCCATCTAATGAGAAGAAAAGACTCCCTGGAAAAGACCCTGATGTTGGGAAAGTGTGATGGCAAGAGAAGAAGGGGACGACCAAGGATGAGATGGCTGGACAGTGTCTGCGAAGCAACCAACATGAATTTGACACAACTCCGGGAGGCAGTAGAAGATACGAGGGCCTGGCGTGCTCTGGTCCATGGGGTCACGAAGAGTCGGACACGACTAAACGAAACGAATGCTGCAGCTTGATTCACAATCTTTTTAATGATTGATTTCAGTTTAGGTGATCAGATGAAGATTGTTTCAGTGCGAGTGTCCACACTGGCCCTCAGTCTGATGCAATTTGATACATGCCCACAGCTCACTGTCCCGCTTCCTTTGATACTGCCTACCTGGCAATCCTTTGCTCTCCTTTCATATTTTTTTCTGTGCTTAAGTGATCTAGTGCTAATGTATTAATGAAGCGATAAGGTAATCTAGCACAAAACTTGGTAGTTTGTTTGGGAAAAAATACTTCAGGACAACTAGGGAGAAAGATGTCCAGAACACCACACCCCAGCTTAACATGTCACAATAACATCACCTAAAGTCATACCCCCATCCTTTTGTAGAATGAAACAATTACACAGGGAACACACTGTTCGAATTGTTCCATCTTTAAAAATTAGAAGCCCCCAATGGCTGGGGGGAAAGCCTGAACTGGAAGCAAAATGAGCCATCTAATGTGCAATGGCAAATTATCACATAATTATCATCATGTGATAATTAAAAAATATTTTTAAATCCTTCCATGCTAATTGTGGAACAAATCCCAAAGTATTTGTCAATGTAGTCGCAACCTAAGATACATGATGATACATTTTAAGAGAATGTAAATTAATCTGCTAGCCTAGAAACATGATGATACATTTCAAGAGAATGTAAATTAATCTGCTAGCCTAGCAATAGATGTATGAATTCCTTTTTTATATACTACAAGGCTATTTATTAATGGAAATATTTTAGTTAATTTCAGCAGAGTAGCCTAATGTTTTAGCAAATTGCAATGCATCTATTCAGAAGCAGCTCTAAACTGTCAAGATGTTCCAAGAACCAATTATATATGTTAATGCAAGTCATACAGAAGCCTTTGATCAATTTGGTGCTTGTGAGATGTGCTTGGTTTCAAATCTCATTTTCCCCAGCCAGCAATTATAGTCTAGCAGCCAATAAAGCTAGGGAAGGCTATTTGGCTATATAGGAGTGCTACACATTTTGCTTCCACTATACTTCTTTCCAAGGATCTTAAACCGAAGATAGTCTTCTCTTGGCTTTAAACCCACAGCCTACATCTAGCTCAGCAAGGCTTCTCTGTAGCTTGTGTATTTTGAAAGAGCTCTGGCTGTCTACTCCGCTATCCTCTTTCCTATATTGGCCTACTAAGTGCTTAGTCAAAGTAGAACAAAAGGGCAATTTCACCTTTGCCCTCACATGACCTCAGCAACAGGTATATTCAAAGCTATGATGCATCATATCCTGGAGGAAGGCTGTCCCAGCCATTAGCCAGATTGAAGTGGCAGAACAGAGTGCTGGGAGCAGTCACAGAGATGCTGCCACTGCTGCTGCCACCCACTCTTTGCTGCCTGAGCTGCTTGTTGCCATAATCAACCTTCTGCCCCTGATGCTAACCATCAGCATACCCTGAGTATTCCTTGTCAGGTTATGTGAGTAATGCCTTGGCCCCATGGGTACTTGAGACCAAGGCATTATGGGGAGGGCTGGGCAAAACACTTCCTGTACACAACTTCTTCACCTCCACACATGGTGCCTCGGCCACAAGGACCCTCAGATGCTAGGTATTATTCATACAGTCAGCCAACAAGTGGGTGGCGGTGATGGGGATAAAGGCACAGCTATTGTCATCCTCTTTCTTGGCCTCCTCCACTAGGGGAGCACTGAAGGAAAGATCATGCAATATACCACTGGCCAACACTCACACACAGTCAGGGCTGCATTACCAAAAATAACATACGCTGTGATTGTTTCACCAAAAGTATTCTTACTCGTTTTTTAGAATTTAAGTCCTTTGCCATGGCAGTATTTAAGAAGCAATGAAAAGGGAACACTGTCTGTTCGTCCAGTTTGGGTAAAAGAGATACTATAAGGGAAAGAAGTCCCTATTTATAAGTAAAACATCAACTCCAAGGGGGTTGGGGATAGATGACCTTTGGAACTGGCAGTCACTGGGTAGAGGGAGGTGGAGGGAGCACCACAACAGGTTACTCCAGTCACACTAAAATCAATGGCACTAAAGTTATTCATATTTTTCTTTTTTCAAAAAAACTGAAGGGGTAGCAGTCATAGTCTTAATACCTGAACTTGTGAAATACGTCAAAATGACTGCATTACATGTCCGAGTAATATTAACCAGGAGAGGGGAACAT